TTATGCCATTTTAAGAAATATAAAACTATACTTACCAAATTTCATTGAAAAAGGAAAAAGTTTTAGCCATTTAAGAGAACTGAACACACAGGTATGTATGACTGCATATAGCCTGGTGATGGAATATATATCTGGTAAATGTGTAAACCCTGGTGTAAATTTCAGTTCTCTTACAATTTATCATGTAAGATTTACAAAGTTCATGCCATTTTAAGAAAAATAAAACCATACTTGCCAAATTTCATTGAAAAATGAAAAAGTTATTACCATTTAAGAGAACACACACCGGTACGATGATTGAATATAGCCTGGTGATGGATTCTCCCTTTGTAAATTTCAGTTCTCTTACAATTTATCATGTAAGATTTATAAAGTTTATGCCATTCTTAGATAAATAAAACCATACTTGCCAAATTTCATTGAAAAATGAAAAAGTTATCACCATTTAAGAGAACACACCCTGGTACTGACTGAATATAGCCTGGTGATGGATTCTCCCTTTGTAAATTTCAGATCTCTTACAATTTATCATGTAAGATTTATAAAGTTTATGCCATTTTAAGAAATATAAAACCATACTTACAAAATTTCATTGAAAAAGGAAAAAGTTTTGGCCATTTAAGGGAACTGAACACACCGGTATGACTGCATGACTGCATATAGCCTGGTGATGGATTCTCCCTATGTAAATTTCAGATCTCTTACAATTTATCATGTAAGATTTATAAAGTTTATGCCATTTTAAGAAATATAAAACCATACTTGCCAAATTTCATTGAGAAATGAAAAAGTTATTACCATTTAAGAGAACACACACTGGTACGACTGACTGAATATAGCCTGGTGATGGATTCTCCCTTTGTAAATTTCAGTTCTCTTACAATTTATCATGTAAGATTTATAAAGTTTATGCCATTTTAAGAAATATAAAACCATACTTACCAAATTTCAGTGAAAAAGGAAAAAGTTTTGGCCATTTAAGAGAACTGAACACACAGGTATGACTGCATGACTGCATATAGCCTGGTATGACTGACTGAATATATATAGCCTGGTAAATGTGTAAATTTCAGTTCTCTAACAATTTATCATGTAAGATTTACAAAGTTCATGCCATTGCAAGAAAAATAAAACCATACTTGCCAAATTTCATTGAAAAATGAAAAATGAAAAAGTTATTACCATTTAAGAGTAGATTTCAGTTCTCTTACAATTTATCATGTAAGATTTATAAAGTTTATGCCATTTTAAGATAAATAAAACTATACTTACCAAATTTCAGTGAAAAAGGAAAAAGTTTTGGCCATTTAAGAGAACTGAACACACAGGTATGACTGCATGACTCAGCATATAGCCTGGTGATGGATTCTCCCCATGTAAATTTCAGATCTCTTACAATTTATCATGTAAGATTTAGAGAGTTTATACCATTGTAAGAAATATAAAACCATACTTGCCAAATTTCATTAAGAGAGGGAAAAGTTATGACCATTTAAGAGAATACACCATTGACTGTGTATAATCTAATGATGGATTCTCCAAATATAAGAAGATATTGAAAAATATATTATACATGTATGAATTCTTAGTTATCATGGTTATTGAAATAAGTTGCAACAGATTTTTGAATGAGTCTTACATCAGAGACATAAATACCAGATATTACTAGGTCTCTGCTCACATCCAAATATGTTGAATTTTTCACTTAAAAGATATAATTTTCATGACTGTTTTCATTGGTAATTACACTTGTCAATATAATTATCAATTAATAAAATTTCAAAAAATAGTATCTATTAATAATGATAATTAATATTTTATGTATGTTCATCAATCAACACTTTGAAATGTGCTCTTTACTTGGAAAACTTTTGAAAATAATTTTGAAAGTAGTTACTCTGAAACAAGCTACCAGGGTATGTACATACACAATTGGATTAAATAAACAGGAAACGGCACGTGTAATGATCAGTCATGCAGTGTGGAGATGAATTCTGGAATATATGTGTATATCATCGTATAGACTTAAACTCTGAAAGGTGTGAGAACCTTCCTTCGGGCAAAATTTCAATATATTTACAAAGGTGTGAAATTTAAGGTGTGAAATTCACTGATTTCAGGTTGATTGCTCTTGTACAAAGTTAAAAAGATTTTTTAGAATTAATTAATTGAAAACCCATCTGCAAATCATCTCTTTCATAACAACACTAATAAAAGGGATTTTAATTAAGACTGCTTTTCAAGATTCAACACTCCTGCAATTAAATCAATTGGGTACTGCTTTGCATGTAAGCATTCAGTGGTCAGACTATCAATGGCTTCCCCTCTCTCTCTTTTTCTCTCTCTTGACACAGTATAAAATTATTGCATAAGCGGTATGAGAGAGAGAGAGAAAACATAGCACACGACCGGGAATTTAAAAAGTTTTGATTTGGGTCATTTTAATGAAAATTGTCAGTCGGTCGGGAAAAAGCAACTAAACACTTTATTTGAAAAGATGACATCATTTTTTTGTTATTTTTTAATCATTCTAGAAAGATCAAGTAAAATGCATACTGAAATAATCAGGCCTCTGAAAGCCTTTTCTGTTTTCTTTTTGGATGGGATGGGGTTTAATATAAATTCTAAAATTTTGTTCCATAATATTCGCAGCGTAATTGAAACTTCGGGGGTCTCTTTAGTTGTTGTTGTTGTTTACTGAATTACTAGAAAATGTATAAGGAATATTATTTTTGCTTTCCGTTATTTGGCGACTGTAGATGGTGTACTGTGTACTTTTGTGTACTTTGCTCTTCTTTACTTTCAATATCAATTAATCCAATTACACTATTACTGATAACTGAAATTTAAATAATTGTGTATTCTGAAATTCCCATCGCGAATTTGAAGATTAAACTGTACTTTTGAAAGACTTGAATTAAACAAGCAGTATAATATTTTTTTTTTTCTCTCTCTCTCTTTATAAAGTATTATAACCTGAAAAACAAGAGGTGAAACACACATACGTAATTGATCTATTACATTCCTTATAAACCAAGAGTTCCCCGGGGACAGCTTTACTTACTTAAGATAATTTAAATCAATAATCTATAAATTGTTATTTTTCTATAATAAACTTTCAAAGAAAAAGTTATCGTCTTACGTATTGTAAAATAAAAAAATACATTAGCTATTATTGTTTAGTTTAAAAAATGATTCTAGGTAATGAAATGATCATATGTATAAATTTTCAAATCTTCATCTTCGATCCTAGAAAGGGACATAACTCTGCAAAGCGGATCTTATAGTATAAGAAGACTAGATCGGATATGAGACATTTTGAAAGCAAGAATTAAAACATTTATTTTGTGTATCATTTATTTTCCCATAAACTTTTAGACAACCTTTAATAGGTTTTTTCCGTAAATGGCAAAAGACCTTACTTCGAAAATTAATATTGACCACGTATTAACTTAAACTGAACGTGCATTTTTTTATGTTATTTTTCATCCGAGTTGGAATTCACGGAAATTTTATCAAAATTATTGGTTTTATTTATTTTCATAATCTCACATTATGTTTGATTAATATTACAGCAACTATAGAGTTTGGAGTTAAACCTTTTCATCCTTCTTTTGCTAACTCCCGAGAAAAATATCTACACGTCCAGATGTAGATTTTCCACTACCATCACTTATTCTTTTTTACTTCTGAACAAACTGACATTTTTTTAATCATTGGCGTCGGAAAAATTGAAAGTGGGGGGGGGGGGCTAAGTGTAAGAAAATTTTTTTTTGTACCTCCAAAAAAACCTGACAAGCCCCCCCCCCCCAAAAAAAAGGAAATGTCTATTTCCCAAACACAAAAATCCTATTTCTTGGGGGGGGGGGGGGGGAGGGAAGAGTACATGAAATTTTCTTCAAAGCCAACACTTTTACCAATTATAACTATACTAAGAATATTATAAAGTGGGGGGGGGGGGGGGCTAACCTTCCCATCAATGTTCAACATATACTACATATGTAAGTATATATTGGGAAAAAAAGTGGGGGGGGGGCAGGCTAACCCCCCCCCCCCCCCCCCAGATGTAGTACCATCACTTATTCTTCTTAGTATTTGTTAATGCTGAACAAACTGACATTTGAAATAAAATATGTTCAGAGTTCAAAAACCTATAAGGAAAAAAAGATGTTTAATAAATCATTATATTCCTTCAAAAGCAGATCTTAATAAGAATATTTTAAAACTTTAAATGAAAAAAAAAATTTAACAAATTAATTGTTAATAAAAATTTTTAAAAAAATTAAACACGCTTGCAATCTTTTATATACTTCCTCAGATGAGGTAGAAATGATGAACCATATATAATTTTAAAATCTGAAATAAACATTTTGAAACTTGTACATGTAGACATTGCTCGAAGACGGGACTAGACGCCTATTGTTATGCAATAAATAAGAAATGGCAGGTGTCAGTATGTAGGTGTGGATCCGAATCCTGTAATATACACATGTGCGTGTATGTGTACCCCTCGGAATACAGCCCTGAGGGTGAATCTTACAATAGATTTTCAATCCTCTGTGTATAGAGTGGTTCGACCATGCTCTGTGCGCCGAGTTAATAATGTGCCTCCTCGATCTATCATACCTAGTACGCGATGTCCATGCATTTGCAATGTGGAATAAAAATAAAATTAAAATTATAAAATAAAATGTATAAAATTTATTTTATTGTATAGCAATATAGCATGTTGTTATACCATCTGGCACAACTGTCAACACAAAACTTTTATTAATTGATAGTTAATTCTTTCAATTAAAAAAAATCATGGAAATGAAAAATAAATCAACTGATGATTCAGGCACGTAGCATCGTTTTTAAAGGGGGAGCCAGACGATTGTTTTGTTTTTTTTTTTTTTTTTTTTAATTATTTGGCCTGGAGAAGTTGATAAGCACAAAATACATTGCCCAAATACGCAAGTTTCTATATTCGGAAATGCTATTTTGATGGGGGGGGGGGCAACTTTTTCTTATGCCGACTTCTTACTGTACCATTTTGGGGTATAATATACTGCATTTTCTTTATATTACTTTACCATAGTATTAACTTGGTAGAGGAGGGGGGATTTAGCTGTATTTCAATGAATATTTTTTATAGAAAACTGAGTAATGTTGGTATCTTACATATGCTTGTAACAGTAAATTAATTATGAGAAAAAAAATTAATTAGAACAAGACCAGATTGAGCAGTTAATATACAGTTGATATAAGTAGATTTGAAAATTCCAATTAGAAAAATAATAAATCTACTGCAGTTGGGTTATCATCTTTTCGGCCTTTTAGTGAACACTAGGTCAAAGTCAATTCGGCCTTTTAGTCCACACTTTGTCAAAATCAAATGAGCGCTTTGTAAGAAGACCACCGTCATGATGATGGAAGTAAGAAGTTTTAAAACTAAACTTTATTTTAACAAGGGTTAATTCACGCAGGTTTTTAAATCAGTTTGATTGATTTAGCGTGTGTGAATTACTCCATTAACATCATCCCCAAAAGTTCCATTGGAATTCTGCTGTCAGTGTCTGAAGAAATGAATATGTGTACGAGACTGGAGTGATGTAAGTATATCAGGTCCAGTACTGGACCTGTATATTACTCAGCTGTTACTAGCCCATTACACTGTGCATGCTATGAATTTGATTGGGGTTATTTCTTGCAAAATGGAATCAAGGATCTCTATGTGGTAGATATTACCACAGAGACTGAAGATTTTTTGGGATGTAAACATGGTCAATTTTTTTTTATAACGTTTATTAGTTTTTTGTCTTACCCAAGGGAGGAGGAATATGTTTTAGCATGGATAGCTTTTTCCCACAAGTTGCAACTTTGTCTGCTAGGATGTCACATATCAGTTAGATTTTAATGTCACATTGTGCCTGTCTAAGGTTAATCAAGTTCAAGTTCAGTGTATTTTTATGGATACTAATAAAAGTTCGGTCTGACATTTGGAATAAATTAAAAAATGAAGCCCTAAATGGGGGGAGGGGGATTTATGTTCTTTTATGGGTACTCACAAGGGTGGATCTGATCAACTGCTGCAGTGGTATAGATGTAAAATCTCTATCTTTCTTTTTAAAAAAATGTGAACCAAAAATTATAACGTCAAAATCAAAGAACCAATCATATGATATTTATGGAAGTACCTTATGGAATCATAATTTTTTTTTCTGTATCATGTGAATTATTCATATTTGGTGAAATGTTGTTATAAAAGCCATGATAGCATATACGACATATTTTGTGAAATATGAAAGACCTATCATATGTCATTAAAATGTAATGTAGCACCACTTTTTTGAATTAGGTCAAACATGAAGGTAAATATTAAGGTGTCAGATATAGCATGCACAGAAATATCATGTCACAGATAATGCACATGTAAAATATGAAACCCTATCTCTTTTAAATCAAAAGTCAAAAGGATTTTTGAAAAGTAGGTCATACTTCAAGGTCAAGGTACCATGGTCAAAAATCATTATTAGTTAAAAACATAGTTACATGTACTAGTTCATTATGAAAGGAATTACCACAGGGAATGCATGTATAATCTGAACATGTCGAAAGCCCTATCTCATCTCATTCAAAAGTTATGACCAAGGTTTTAAGTTTTTGTGACAGATGAGTAGACAAACAGACTTACAGATGACATATGATTAGATTCAATTATTAATTATCATGAAATCTTGCATTTGATAAAAAGGATGACAAAAATCAATAGAACCACTAACCACTAAAAGGGATTGACTGACCTTGACATGATGTTGCACATACCCGGTAGATGCTTTTTATAAAAATTTAGGTCTTCTTTTAAATAATTAACAATAATTTATATTTAGGAAGTTTAAGTAGCTGACAGAATAAAAAATATATCAAGTTTGACATACATTTAGATCTATTTCAATGCAAAAGCAATATCGATCAATATCGCCTGACTGCATTATGCAGAATGAAAATTCAGTTCTCTAAAGGTCATACGCAACATACCGGTAGTTTGAACTTTATTAGGATCTTCCCTGGAGTTTCAGAGTTTCACTTAATGAAGGACCTGGGTACAATACTTTGAATGTCTTATATGGATTTGTACACCTCTTCTAAAAGTATGTTTGATGAAAAAGAAATCTGGAAATTATGTTCTGTAATTTTGCCCCCGGATCGAAAGATCGGGGGTATATTGTTTTTGTCCTGCCTCTCTGTCTGTCTGTCTGTTTGTCCCCCAACTTTAACCTAGCCCATAACTATTGAGTGGTAGGGGCTATGGCTTTCATAATTCATAGGTGTGTTACTTGTGACATAACCTTTCTTTGGGTACCACCAAATTTGACCTCTTGACCTTGACCTTGGAGTTTGACCTACTTTTATTAGTCCCCTACCGGGGGGGGGGGCTATAGGTTTCCTCTGCGTCTGTCTAGCTGTCTGTCCCCGTCAGTCTGTCCCACTTGGTTTTCCACACTTTTTTTTCTAAATGCTTGCAGATATTGAGCTGAATTTTGGTATGTGAGTGTCTTAATGAGTTACAGATCAAGTTTGAATTTTGCTTTGCTTCATTGATTTTTGACAGAATTAGGGCATTTTGAATATTTTTTCATAATCGCTTAATTGAGATCAGATTCTAACTGCGCTAACTTCCGATTGTCGACAAAAATATGAAGCGAGGAAAGGACGGTGGAGAAATGAGTTGAATTTTCGTCTTAATGTGGATTATTTTATTAGTTTTAAGGCATTTACAACTTGAAAATCTTTCAGTTTTACCTTGGACAAGACTTTTGCATATTATAAAATGACATCCAGAAGAAAAAGGGGAACCCGGTAGGGGACATGAATTGCTTATGCAATGCTCTCAAAATGCTTGTTCTATTTGTTATCAACTTTAACTTAAGCCATAACTTTTGAACAGATCAAGAAAGAGACTTCATATATAAAATGCATAGACTCCACTAATTAAGCACTTTCAACTGACACCAAGGACAATGACCTTTTGACCCTGACTGTGACCTATATGCTAAAATTAGATTTTTCGAACTTTCAGTATAACTTTTAAACAATAGGAGATAGAGACTTGATATACTAGTCAAAATTTCTAAGTCCCCAGGCAAGTTTTTGCTTTATACCGCTTTTAAATTGAATTATTTTAACAGTATTACTTAATAAGTATACAGGATAATAAAATAGCAAAATAATTTTTCCTCACTTGATTTATTTTATTGAAGCACTTTAACACAATATGCAGAAACGTTAAGGCACCCTAGAATTAAAAATTCACAACGTTTAATACTGCATTATTCTCCATTCAAACGAATTCAAATCAAGACAACCGTTCCTCAAAGAGTTCACACTATTTAAGAAAAACTATTTCATTGAATGTTTTTCCATGTGGATACTAGGTCGTCCTCTAGTTCCGCTAAATACTGCTGCTGGGAAAGCTGTTTCACACTCCGGTCTTTCTGCTTCCATACATGCTATTTAGGGTTGAGATTAGGAAGACAAGGGGGCTTATCGAAATTGTCTGTGCCTTGTCAACAATAGTTACTTAACGTCTTCTTACATGTATTCCCCACTTCTCCAGTTTGACATTGAGGGGAGGGCACTTCCGGTTCCGGTTCCATTGATTTTTCCGGATAAACTCTAGGATGATTTTGTGGTGTTTGTTGAAATCTAGCAATTTTTAACGGTTAAAAGGAATTCAGGTGCGCTTTGTAGGTTTTCCGGGTGGTAATTATAAAGGTTTTAAGTAAAATAAAGTCATACAGTGAAGAAAAACAGAACTTTTGTTTACTACGACCAGCTTAGGCCATTTCAACTTCACTTTCACATTGTTGTGTGGACATACACCGCATTTTTAGGTCACCTGAGTACACTCAGGTGACCTATTGCTATCCGTTTTCGTCCGTCGTCGTGCGTTAACATTTGAACATTTTCAGCTTCTTCTCTGCAACCACTGAACCAGTTTCAACCAAATTTGGCACAAAGCATCTATGGGTGAAGGGGAACAAAAATTATGAATTTCATGATCCCTGCCCCCCAGGGGCCTGAGGGGTGGGGCCAAAACCACTAAAATTAATGCAATCTTTAAAAATCTTCTTCTTTACTTCTGGGCATCAAGCAGTCAAACTGTTTGCATGATTGTAATCAGCAATGAGTCCTCTACCAAAATTGTGAAATTCATGGCCCTGGGGTCAGGGGTTCTAGTGCTAGGGCGGGGCTAAATAAGTAGGTAGTGAAAATGCATTATTTCTATGAAAATCTTCTTCTCTGCTCCTGGGTATTAAACAAACTAACTAAGTACATAGTTATGATGAGCAAGAGTGCCTTTACCAAAATTGTGAATTTTATGACCCCAGGGTCAGGGGTTCTAGTGTAAGGGTGGGGCTCTATTGATTATGTAGTGAAAATACAGGAATTCTTTGAAAATCTTCTTTTCTGCTCCTGGGTATTAAATAAATTAACTAAAGGCATAGTTATGATGAGCAAGAGTGCCTCTACCAAAATTGTGAATTTTATGGCCCCAGGATCAGGGGTTCTGGTGTTTGGGCGGGGCTCTTATTGATTATATAGTGAAAATACATGAATTCTTTGAAAATCTTCTTCTCTGCTCCTGGGTATTAAATAAATTAACTAAAGACATAGTTATGATGAGCAAGAGTGCCTCTACCAAAATTGTGAATTTTATGGCCCCAGGATCAGGGGTTCTGGTGTTAGGGTGGGGCTCTATTGATTATATAGTGAAAATACAGGAATTCTTTGAAAATCTTCTTCTCTGCTCCTGGGTATTAAATAAACTAACTAAGTGCTTAGTTATGGTGAGCAAGAGTATCTCTACCAAAATTGTGAATTTTATGGCCCCAGGACTAGGGGTTCCGGTATTATAGGGGGGGGAGGCTCTATTGATTATATAGTGAAAATACATGAATTCTTTGAAAATCTTCTTCTCTGCTCCTGGATATAAAATAAACTAAATAAGTACATAATTATGATGAGCAAGAGTGCCTCTACCAAAATTTTGAATTTTATTGCCCCAGGGTCAGGGGTTCTAGTGCTAGGGCGGGGCTCTATTGATTATATAGTGAAAATACATGAATTCTTTGAAAATCTTCTTCTCTGCTCCTGGGTATTAAATAAACTAACTAAGTGCATAGTTATGATGAGCAAGAGTGCCTCTACCAAAATTATGAATTTTATGGCCCCAGGGTCAGGGGATTTGGTGTTAGGGCGGGGCTCTATAGATTATATAGTGAAAATACATTAAATTTTTAAAAATTTTCTTCTCTGCTCTAGGGTATTAAGCAGATGAACTACCTATATAGTTATGATGGACAAGGGCCCTAATCTTCCAGAATTGTGAACTTCAAGGCCCCAGGGTCAGGGGCACCATAGAGGGGGGGACTGTACTTATATACTGAAAATGAATGAATGGTTTGAAATCTGCTCCATGGTATTAATCAAATATCAAGGCCTAAGGATCAGGGGTTCATGTGTGGTAGGGGCACTACTGATTATTGCTGAATATAACTGATTAGTTGAAATGCATTTTTTGTTCCCCTACCTTGTGTATGGGTATTTAGTAAACAAACTAAGCAACTGCTAAGTGTATTGTTATGATGAATTAAATTCAATCACTGGAAAGTTGTTGCATAATGCTCAGGCGACCTATAAGGCCCATGGGCCTCTTGTATTCAAACATTTTCTGTTTTTCGTTATCAATAAAAGATGGAGAACACATGGAAGTAAAAAATATTAAGAATAAACCCGAAAAACATATGGAATTTGAACTTCATGCTTTTCAACAAAAACGGTCACGGTCGAGTAATTACACATTCGATTACAATTTTTTTTACCTTGACAGGTAAGTATTGCAAATGAAAGGCATATTTGTAAGCAACTAGTAAATTGAAGGTTAGGTTTTTAAAATTTTGAAAAAATAAAAGTGGGGACTTAGAAATTTTGACAAGTATATTTGGTATGCCTACTTCAGTAGTTAAGTGCTTTCAAACGACACCGAGGTCAATGACCTTGTGACCTTGACTGTAACCTTTATGCTAAGAATAGATTTTTCAAACTTTGTTGCTGTGGGGGCACAGTGTTTCACATACACATCTTGTTTTTGTATATTTCTTTGAATAATGCAAACATTTTCACAATTTGATATTTTTTCAAAACCCCTAGTAACACTAAATTAGAAACATAAAGAATTATTGTTCACTTCCAACATATAAATTCTAACATTAATTATAGTGAACATAATGTATGTAAAAACTTAATTGATTTGTTATCCAATGTAGTTTTAATAGTCAAGCTGATGGATGTGATCATGGTGATAGGGATACATTTCAAAAACTGGTGTAAATAAAGCACCGTAGTATTAAGCTTTGAATGCATTGATAAAAATGTCTTATTTCATCATATTCATTACATGTACCTGGGGTTTTTTTTTTTTTTTGCCGGTAGGTGGTTATTTCAGTTAGGTTAATAAAGAGAAACATACGAGATGTAATTAAATTTCATTCTTATATATTCATTCATAAAGATGATGAAGATACCCAACATAATGATTAAAAGATAAAGAGAATAAATCAGATTGGTGATCAATATCCAAAAGACAGGATGGTGGATCTAAAGGTAATGGGTTCCAATATTTTCCTTTGTTTATTGCATGGTTTTGAATTTCACATTCACCCCAGACAAATCAAAATGAGTTATTTGTAGGTTGATCTAATTAAGAGGCTTTATCTTTTTGATTATGGCTATTTGATTTCAAACAGTTTGCTTATAAGTCATGTGATATCATGGTCCAAAGTTATGAGTGGTGGATCCAAGGGGAGTTGATATTGAATTTTTAATTACTTATCATGCTTATTGTAGATCATCATAACATATACTAATAATTATTGCGCATTTATTTAAACATTTAAGTAACCTTTCTTTGTGTGATAAGTGATGGACCAAAGGCATGTATATTTCACCAGTAATTGTTTTGATAGTTGAGGTGGATCCAAGGGGGTGGATAGATATATTTTTAAATACATGTATTAATTTAAAATTTTGTAATGTGTCAAAGGAATCAATAATAATCATGTGATGTTTATGGTTAATTGATTTTAAACATTTAACTTATATATCATGTGTGATCAAAATCTAAACTTATAAGTGGTGGATCCAAGGGGGTGGATATTAATCTTTTTTAAATATTTGTGGTGGGTGCAGGATCAAAGAATATTAATGATCAATGATTGTGGTTAATTTATATCAGCATTTAGCTTATATGTCATGTTTGATCATGATCTTAATTTTAAAGTGATGGGTCCAAGGGGGAGTGGATGTATAAGTAGAAATTTTAGCGAGGATTTAATTTTAGCATTATTAGCGAGGGTGCCAAGATCGCTAAAATTGAATATCGCTAAAAATTAATTGCGTTTTATTTGTAATAGCTTCTTTAATGTGTACTTAAAAATCGCTAAAATAACATCTCGCTAAAAATAGATTACCAGTTTTTAAGGACAAATCGCTAAATTTGTGTCTCGCTAAAATTTCTACTTATACGGTATTTATGTTATATAGTAGTTGTGGTTGATCCAAGGGGAGTGGATATTAATTTTAAATACATGTATTTGTGATGGGTAAAAGGATATTAATGATTATAGGCTTATAGCTAATTGATTTCAAACATTAAGATTATATGTCATGTATGATCAAGATCTAAACTTATAAGTGGTGGATCCATGGGGAGTGGATATTAATTTTATTTTTTTTTAAATATTTGTTGTGGATCAAAGGATATAAATGATTATGGCTAACTGATTTCAACATTAAGCTTATATGCCATGTGTGATCATGGTCTTAACTTACATTAGTGGTGGATCCTTGAGGAGTAAATTTTTTATTTTAAAATATTTGTGGTGGATCAAAGGATTTTTTTATTATAGTTTTTTAAAAAAGAAGAATTGCTGTCCATCCAAGTGTTTACAGAAGATTCCCACTAATGCAGTTTTTTTCCATCAGGAAGCAGTTTTGGAAACTGGTCATTACTCAACAGAATCAGGAGATTTCAGTATTGTATGCAAACAAAGATAAGACAGTGTCACTCGCACAAATTTAAGTCCCCTTTCGGTTGATTGTACTTTTTCTTAACAAATAAAAATCAGTATCTCAGACACTCCTCTTCTCTTGGCAAGTCATTTGGTTGAGTTTTCTCTGGCAATAGGATTTGTTTATGACCCTCACTTTAATTAAAATGGCTCTACAAAAGCAGTTAAACAATGGATATATAGCAGTCAGTTTTGCATTGTTATGCCTCTAGATCTGCCTCATAAAAAATAATTTGAATTTGTATATGATTGAAGATAAAATGCTTCATAAAGTATATTCAGACATTGCATTCTTATCCCATTATTCCCATATCTGCTTATTTATTTATCCCATGGGATTAAAAATACCCAGTATTATGTACTTTGCAGGATTTTTAATCCTAAGAAGGGCAAATATGGGATTTTTAATCCTATGTCGCCTATTATGGGAGAAAAAATCCCATGGGAGAAAAAATCCCTCAAAGATTTTTTTCTCCCATGGGATTTTGGTGGGATTTTTGGTGGGATGAAAAATCCTGCCATTCTCCCATGGGATTTTAGGTTTTGACAGAGGTTTATGAGAAAACTACTACAATGTGGAAGTTGAGATTGACATGATGAGGTAAGAATAAAAAATCCCACCAAAATATAGAAAAAAATCTAATGTAGGTCTTTTCGAAAGGGTACCTAAAAGTCCGGACTTTGTCGTGTCCGGACTTAAATGTCGCAGTGTTATATTCAGTATATAAGTAGAACTCCCCTCCCCCGGGGTTGTGACATACAATGACGGATGAAAACAGATAGCAACAGGTCACCTGAGTGACTCTCATCAATACCTAACAGCATCATAATGAAGTTTGATGAAAATATCTTTTTAAAAACTGAGCTTTGAACAGAGATAAATGCAAAGTGTGACAAAAGGACAGAAGACAGACGTAACACACACTAAATATGCCGAAGCAATAATCACATTGGGACATAAAAACCATTCTATCCTATTGTTCTACAGTTTTTCTTTATATTTAAGGACAAAACTAATCCCATAGCTGGAAATATTTTAAGCCAAAGTTCAAGTGTTATTAATTTCAAGTCTGTATCAGAAAATTACATCGGAAGCAACAAGAGTCCAAAATATACATACAGGAAATGACATTGATGACTTGAGTTATATTGGGTAATAAGGAAATTAAACATTTTGATGAAATTTGATTCAGTAAGAAAGTTTCCATATTCCTAAGCAGAGTTAACTGAGATACGTCTACAATATTATATTCACTTGTCATATTAGAATTGTAGATGTCTGAGCTTGACCCCCAATACCTCCTTGTCTAACCAAACTTTGCACCTCAGGTTAAATCTGAGATTTCATGCTAGCCTACAGATCAGCAGAAAGGATTGTGACTTCATACTAGCCTACACATTTAGCAGAAAGGAATATCCGCCACCAAAAATGGACACAATTAGAAGCTCACAAACGTAAGTTTTAATGACAAAAATTTATTAAACCAAAAACAATTCCTTAATCATCTGAATCAGTGTACTAGTAATTTGTTGACAGTAAAATTGGTTTTAACTTTTTACACCACTGAATTTAAAATATATACCTTAGACAATTTCAGTTATAAATTTCACTATTTAAAATAAATGAATGATTTAGTTGTGTTGAAAAGTAAATGATTCAGTTGAGGAAGTTTTTTTTTATTTTATGATTTACATGTATGAATGTAAAATTCTTTTTTTAATTAAGAGAAAACATACACTGTCAACATTTCTTTTTAATAAAACATAATAGTTTATTAAGCTTATCAATTACTGTATATCTGGAAAATTTTATGTCATTTTTAGTTTGGGAATTCGGGTCAAAATGGTGTTGATTAATTTTTACATTTCAAAATTTTGCGATGTACCACTGCTTTGTTTATATTTTCTTATTGGTATTTATTTTTAAGAAAAATATTTTTGCGAATGCAATGAACTCACAAATTTGCTAAAAATTTATCTACAGCAAAAATTTCCAGATTTACGATGTGATAATTATATTATAGTTTTACAAAAGGGAAACATTAATTAAACAAGAATATAAATTCCACTTTAATCATTCTCAGTACTAAAGCCATACAACGGATATCAGAGTCGGTGTTTGTGGGACTGTGTTATATAGTGGGGAACTCACAACTGGTGACCATGAGGAGAGATGTGATGGAAATCATGGAGAAGGTGAGAAATCAAGTGAAAAAAAGATATGAGTACAGTGTGATGGTGAGTGGAAGTTATGGAGAAGGATTCAGACTGAAAGGATCTGATGTGGACATTATGGGGTGGTTTAATGATCTCAGTGTGATCTGGGACTTATCTCAGTCTCAGTATTACAACACACAAAGACAAACACTGATGCTCTGTGACTGTTCTGATAGTCCACCAGGATTTACTTTGTTATATTTACTGTCACCAAGCAGGTTCAGAACAATCCAGAGAGCACGTGTTAGAATGAATAACAGATATTATGTATCTAGTTCTAAATACAGACAGTACTCTTTATCTGCATCACTAACTGCACCTTGTAACCTAACGCCACATGGACCCTGTGTCAGTGGAACATCTGGAATACTAGAATATGATTATGCCACCTGTTTTGTTAGTGACTTTTGGCCTCCTTCTGCCTCCTCATGGATAGACAGATGTCACTCATGGCCCCAGCCTCATGTTGTTGATGATATAGTGAAAAATGGATGTCACTTTGTAGCAATTGGACATAAGATAGGAAATCATGAAGATCATGAATGGAGAATTTCTTTCTCCCAAGCTGAAAAAAAACTTGTGTTTGTAATGAATCACTGTCAATTCTTAACTTACGGCTTACTTAAATTGATCTTAACAGAAATAATTAACAATGGAGTAGGTGATGATGATAAATTACTGTGTTCCTATCACATGAAGACGGCAATTTTCTGGGTGATTCAACAAAATACAATACCTCACTGGTGTCCACAAAATCTCCTGGGGGGTTTCTGGGTCTGTTTTAAACTCATCCTCAAATGGGTTTATGAGGGGGTCTGTCCTAACTTTTTTATTCCAGAAAACAACATGTTTCTGAGTAAAGTTTTTGGCATGAAACAACATCAATTAATTATAAGACTGTCTGAGTTGTATGAGAAGGGTTTAGCATTCCTGCAACACAGTCCCTCCATTAGGTCTTATATTATAGATGTTTTACAAAACCCCAGAAACTCCATCTGTACAGATGTTCATACTCTGATTTCTGAGGCTGAATTTGATAGATATCTATTTGGTGAAATACTACATCATTGCATTACACCAGACAAATTGGACATACCAAGCTGCATTAGATATCTACATACAATAGAACAGATGATAGGTTCACCCCTCCTGAGACAGTATCAAGTCCTCAAGCTACAGATTATCACTGCCAGGCTCCTTCAGTACACTGCTTTTATATTTCACATGGAAACTTACACACCTGACAACAAACTGGGTTATAGAGCTGACAAAATGACCTGTCACATGCTGAAATTAGCAGCCAAGTTTGGCTGTATTACAGATATGCTGTACATAGCCATGTATTATTACAAGACACTAAGATACACGGAAACTTTATCTATTATAGAGATGATCAAGGTCAAGTTAGCACAGCCATATGCGATGCATATAAATAATGTAGATAAAGAGATGTATACTGAGGCTGTGGGGGGACAGTCCTGGTCTACAAAGATGAGACAGGCTGTAGCAGAGAATGTCAGACTTTACAATAGCATCCTTTACATCAGTGAACTGAAACCAGAACTACAGTCTGCTCTACAGAACAACTGGAAATTATTATTTGTACCATCCTTGGTACTGTTATACATGCTAGAGATCTTGTGCTACAGACATGTAGACACAATGCGAGTACAAACAGCTCTAGATGATCTACAGACCCTAGTTCACTATGATCAGGGACAGTTCATACATTCAAATTACAGCGACATGTCGTGGCAGATTCTGGGAATCTGTCAACAGGTGACAGGGAACCTCCAGGCTGCTCTTTACTCATACCAACAATCCCTCAGACAACACCCATTTAACAACATACGAACAGCTACAGAAATGAGAATACAGAGAGTATGCCAATGGATTCCCTTAACTAATTAACTATCAGGATATATTTGTAAGAGTTCACGGATAGAGATTATCATTTACATATCCTCCTCTAATTTCATATTTTCATTTCTGCCTTATTTATTACATGTAATATAAAGCTAATAACTAGTCTATAATAAAATGAAAGAAGCACCACTACTTATCATAATTATACACTTAGCATGCATACTCTACTAAGTTACTTAATACCTAAAGTTAGATCAGAGTAATAAAGAGAAAATGCATTTCAACTTTATAACCATTTGTGCAACCCACTACACAGGGTCAACTGAACCTGGGGCCACATATTTCAAAATTATTTTTATCACAAATTTCATTTGACTAATACCACAGAACAGATTTCATACCTGTAACCATTAATTTATTTTCAGACTACAATTGAGCTTCATTTATACGGACGCTTTGGTTCGTAGTCAATTTGTCCAGTCATGTGAAACGTCCGGATATATGAATTACCAGTTAAACAAGACAAAATAATGTTAAAAAAAATCCATTCCGATGAAAAATCGTCCAGATACTGAAGCATCCGGATATCTGTGTTTTAAATCTAAAGTAAACAATATCTTAGGTATTTCATAATTATATTATTGTTAAAATATTCAACTATTTTTAAAATTTTAAATTGGACTTCTTTGATAGCAAATTGCTTAATTGAAAACACACCTCTTGCTTTCACTGGGCAACATAACAAGTATCATTTTTAACCATCTGCCTTCCTTCACTATAACGACCAATCCAATTATTGATTGAATTTATAGGAAGTCATTTGTTTTAATAAACTGTGTACAAATTATCATACATTACTTTTAAGTGATTTGTAAGATTTACAATAAATTTTACAGTCCATTTTTAAACGAGTACAACTGAGACAGCCATTTTCGTCACAAGTGACCTACATAGTGACGTCATTTTCACATTGTGACGTCACAAACAAGGAGCAAACTTTATTCAGTATTTGCTATTTATAGAACTTGTGTATGGCTATGTGTGTACCTAATTGTTTTCCAATTTGAAATGAGGTTTTGTGATATAAAGATAGTTCGGGAATTTTTTGATCACCCCTCATAGATGGGAAGAATTTTCTACATAGCTCCTAATATTATAAAGCCATGTTGCTTTTATTTGTGTATGCAAGTATATACCTATTTGTACAGGATTCTCTGATATATTCAATGAATATGAAGCAGAGAGAATTGAAAATTTAGAAGTTACGCACCAAAGGCAAACAATGTCAGTCCTATGTACATCATGCTAGCATTGTAGGCAAAGGCCATAAACACAAAGGCAGGGATAAGCATCATCATTCCTTGAAATTGCAAATATTAGTCTTAATTGCATAGTAAAATTAAGAAATGCTTCAAATTTAAAATACATGTATATTTTTTAGCATTATATCTGGCTAGAATATGCAACCAGTGCAGTCTTGACCCAAAATTACTGCAGAAATAGAGGCAGTTTCCCCTTGGAAATGTAGTACATGTACTCAGTATTTTCTCCCCAAAATTAAATTATATAAAATTGCTTATTTTCGAAGATAAAAAAGCTGCTTTTAAATTATGGATGGATAAAATTTATGAATCGGGCCTAAATTCTTACCAGAGTTGCTATCTTCACTTCTTTCCCTGCAGGTATCTTTCTAACATAACCACCTGTATTTTTATGCAAAAAACGTATCAACTAATTGCTTTCAATAAATTCTGACGATTCCATGATTTTATTTTACTACTTGCTTCAAGGTTTGTGAGGAACACAAAAACAATTTATCTTTAATTTTTAGCCTATATCATCTTTTTAAAATTTACTTTTTAATAAGTTGTGCGAAGAATGATTGAAAAAAATAGATATTCCAAAAATGGGGGTATAGGTGTTCAAAAGGCTGTTTTGTAAAAATTTTCTAGTCAACCATAATAAAGTATGTTTTTTTGGTAACCTAAGATATAATTCTTAATAATTGTGAAGAAAAAATAGCATATAAACATATAAGATTTTGAAAAATATTTGAAATTAAGATATTTTGAGCATTTGATCTGAAAGATTTTGACAGAATCAACATTAATTTTTTAGCTTTTTCAAAAAGAAATTTCAAATATTTTCTTGACAAATGAATATTTATGATTTTCCTAAGTTTAACAATAATTGGATGTGATTTGGTACATAGCTAAATATAATATGATGTTACAATTCTATATGTTGAATTTTTGCTGTTGCATTTTTAGAGGTATATACTCCGAGACAGGTTGCATGAACATTAACCTGCAAAGATATGTTTTTTAGTTAGATAATGACTTATTCAAGATATTCAAATAAAAAAATAAAGAGTTTGTCAGAAAATTCTGAAAGTACGGACCTACCTTAAGAGGTAGAGATTTCCCAATTTACACTGTTTTAAGGAACTGAGTATAAATGTTTTAAGTAAATCATTATAAATCATTAATTTACATACAAGCAATAGCAACTATAAATCAACATTTGTATCTAAGATTAAGGTTGATTGAGTTGACTATGAAATTGTTGGCATGAATGAAACTTGTAATCTCTGACATGACAATTCACTGAATTTCATGACAAAATGTCTAAGGAATTTATCTTTCTTATAAGAAGAGTTATCTCTCTTATCAGAGGGATGATACACCTTAAAAGCAAAATAATTTGATTTACGAATTCGATCTAAAGATGTAGATCAACATGCACAAACAACAATCGTCTATTTAAATTTCTACTAAATAACCATCACTAACTCGTATCTAAGATCGAGATGTCGCCGGTTAAATAAAATTCGCTTCAAAATTCAACAAATGAACAAGCACAGTTTAATACAACAATGTCGTTGCTATGGAAAACAAGTAAAAAGATTTAAAATCCACTTACCATTTTTTTTTTATTTTTTCCCCTTACCGATGATATTCCTAACGACTGCTAAGGCCCAAACTGTTTGTTTACAATAACCATAAACAAGGTGTAGAAGGGAATAAGATTGCGATTTAAACCGACTTTTATATCATATCTTAGGTTTCGCGCCATTAGATTTCTTTGAAAGCTCAAAGTAAATACAACGCAAAGGGGAAATTTTAAATTGTAAGCAATTGACATCAGAAAGATTTAAAAATCAAAATCAGATTTTCTTTTTATTTCCTACCCTGAAGGAGTTGGGAAGGGGAGTGTGTGAGTGTGGAGAGGGGGGGGTGTATGGTGAACTTAGAGCACTTTCCTAACTCTGACAATGTGTCTTGATTTTCCAATAACGCTCTTAGTTACCCACAGCAGTTTTAGCCCGATGGGTTACTTTAAAAACCACATCTACCTAAACATGTATGGATTAAAAATGTATAAAAAGGATTGATTGATTGATTGTATATTGTTTAACGTCCCTCTCGAGAATTTTTCACTCATATGGGGACGTCACCGTATGCCGGTGAAGGGCTTCAAAGTTTGACCTTTACTCGGCACTCAGGGCCATTGAGCAGTGAGGGATCTTTATCGTGCCAACGCCTGCCGCTGACACGGGACCTCGGTTTTTAAGGTCTCATCCGAAGGACCCGCAACTTTCACTTCATAGTGCCGAGCGCATGGCGAAGGAACAGTTGCTACCAATTTTAACGACTAGGTCAGTCGCGGCCGAGATACGAACTCACGACCTCCCGATCACGAAGCGAGCGCTCTACCGACTGAGCTACCGTGAACGGTGTATAAAAAGGCTCGTTTGAAAAGTCCTTGATCAGCATACATATATACTTATTGTTAAATTATTCATTCAAGTACTCGTATCCTTGCTTGTCCGTCTAGAGAATACTTCATTATACTGTAAATCACTTTTATTCGCGAGAACTTTATTTTTGCGTAAATACGCGAGACAGTGTGCTCGCGAAAATAAAATTCTCGCGTATAAAAATATTCCTTAAGATTATATAGAATAATAACCACAATTCGTGAAAATTTTGTATCGCTAATCAAGAGTCAATGACTATCTCGCGAAAATAAGGTGTCGCGAAAATTTAGTGATCTACAGTAACTTGCAGGGGACCAATATCTGTGCATGAAAGGGCTTAATAGGTTATTCCCTATAAAAGGATTTTGATTGTGGGGGATATTGGAAAATGAGAGTCTGAAGTGTAAGAACTGTATTCAAAAAGTTAACCGTTGCACGCCGAAGGAAAAAAAAAATATTGTCCAAAAAGTGTAAAACCTTAAATAAACAAAGAATTTCCCATCGATTTCTCGAAGGAATAAGAAAATCATCATTAGGATTGAGAGTTCAAAAAAATAAAACTATTTTCTTATTGATTGGGATCAATAATGAACCGTGTCTCTAACAAATTAAGTATAAATACAGCCTAACTTCGATATCTAGAACATCGATATTTCAAATACTATGGATAAACTGCTATGTTTCGATATTTTGTAAATCGAAATCTCGAATATATGTACCTTGGATAAGTCGAAATGGAGTGAAAGTACGTTCTCTATTAATTTTAACAATAGTGTCTCGAAACCTTAAATATATTTAAACTTTTCGAATTCGAGATCACGAATTTTGACGGTGAGTTTTCTGTAAATTTTATTTTTTTCAGTGTGGCAGCCAACCGCCGCACCTCTAATTAAGAACATACAACGAGACATATATTACATGTATCTTTCAAAATAAACAAATCTATCCTTCTGTGTTCCATAAACCAGAAGTGAAAAAAGAATTAGAGAGATTACACTGGTTCCTGCTGACAAAGCAGGTAACAACATTGTCTTCGTTTGTAAGGCTCATGATATAAACTGCATTCTAGAAGAACTTGGATTTAATTCTACAAGTGGTAATCCTACTTATACATATACTTCTCTTTCTAAGGAAGAAATTCTTCAGAATCACCTGTCAGTATTGAATACTTTTAATATTCCACAGAGCCAAAATGAATTTGAACTACCTTATATTTATTGGATTCCAAAACTTCATAAGAGTCCTTACAAACAAAGATACATTGCAGGTTCCAGTAAATGTTCAACCAAGCCTCTTTCGTTACTTCTCACTAAAATATTGACAGTAGTGAAGGAAAAACTTCAAGAGTACTGTACAACTTTATATTCAAGAAGTGGTGTAAATCAGATGTGGATACTTAAAAATTCTAAAGAACTTTTGAACAATTTGAAATCACAAGACTTTACAAAAATCAACAGCATAAAAACTTACGACTTTTCAACTTTATACACAACAATTCCCCACGACAAATTAAAATCCAGGCTTTTTGATATCATTGACAGCTGCTTCTTCAACAAAAACGGAACTCGTAAGTTTACTTACCTCGTCATTGGTCATTTGAAAAATTATTTTGTTAAAACAGATTCTGATTGCACACATAAGTACTCAGAAGTTGACATCAAGTAGATGCTTGAGTTTCTGATTGACAATATCTATGTGGTTTTGGAGACCAGGTATTCCAACAATCTATTGGATTCCCATGGGTACAAATTGCGCTCCGTTATTAGCAGACTTATTTTTATATTCATATGAAGAAGAATTTATGCAAAATCTTTAACGTGAAAAGATGAAAACACTTGCTGTGGCCTTCAACTCGACATTTAGATATATCGACGACTTATTGTCTATTAACAATGATAATTTCCATTCCTACGTCGACACGATATATCCTGGTGAGCTTGAAATAAAAGATACCACAAAGTCCGACATTTCTGCTTCATACTTGGATGTTTTACTTGAAAAAGACACTAATGGTAATCTAACAACCAAGCTATATGATAAACGTGATGACTTTAACTTTTCTATCGTCAACTTCCCTTACTTATGCAGCAATATACCTTCATCACCTGCATACGGAGTATTTATATCTCAGTTGATTCGATATGCAAGAGCATGCTCTACGTATGAACATTTTCATAAACGAGGTAAATTATTGACAAGCAAGTTGATGAAACAAGAATGTCAACGGTCTCGTTTGAAGTCATAATTTCGTAAATTCTATGGTCGATACAATGACCTTGTCAGCAAATACAATTTATCATTGAATGAAATGCTGACTG